CCCCGGAAAAAAAAAAAAAAAAAAAAAAAAAAATCTAAAGTGAAAAAGAGCTGGGGATGTAGCTCAGTGCAAAGGCCCTGGATTTAATCTGACACTGTAAGGAAACAAATCTAAACAACACAAAACAACCTGCTGGGCACAGTGTTGCAAGACTGTAATTGGGAGGCTGATGCAGAAGGATTTTCAGTTTGAGGCCAGGCTAAGGAATGTAGCAAGACCTAGTCTCAAAAACAAAACAGAACAAAACCTTGACTGATTCCAGTTTGGGTTTTTTTGTCTCCAGTGTGAGGAAGAAGTCTAACTTCACACTTTTGCATGTGAATATCCAGTTGTTCCAGCACTGGTTTCTGAAAGGTTCTTCTTTTTCCATTGACTTCCTGTGGAAAATCTTGTTGAAATGAATTGAGTGTATAAAATTTGAGTTTTCGGTTCTTTTCCACTAATATACATGTCTGTTTGTATGCCAGTACTGCATTTTTCTGATTATTGTAGATTTCTAGTGTGTTTTGAAGTAGGGAAGTGTGAGTTCTTTAACTTTGTTCTTCTTTTTGCAGATGTTTTGGGCTATTCTGGGGCCCATGAATTTCCATATGAACTTTAGGATCATACAAAAAAGAAAATCAGCTGGGAAGTACATTGACTTTGTAGATCTGTTTGGGAAATATTACTATCTTATCAATATTGTTTTTCAGTCCACAGACATGCGATGTCTGTATTGATTTAATAGCTTTTAAATTTTCTTTAAATAATGTTTTATAATTTTTGGTCAGGATTTTGTTTTGTTTTGTTTTGTTTTTGAAATGGTCTCGCTTTGTAGTTCAGGCTGGCCTTGAACTCATGGAGATCCTCCTGCCTCAGCTTCCTGAGTGCTGGGATTATAGACATGTGCCATCATGCCTGGTTTCAGAGGATTTTTAAAGGTAGAAAATGTGAGAGGAGTTCTAAAGAAATTTTTGTGAGAACATCTGTATACTTGATTTAACTTAAAGGGATTGACCTGAAGATATTTTTAATGTTACTTTTTTTATATGTGTTCTATAGAAAGCAATAGAAAATTAAGTGGTTTGATTCTATTTATATTTAAATTACTTTTGAAAATAACTTTTGAAAAATAATTCAGAGATTTATATTTCCTAATGTAATAAGGAATATGTAGTAGTTTTTGTTTGTAATTAATATTTGATAAACAGAAAAGGCCTGATGTTTGTTTGTTTCAAGAAGAAAACTAACATCAACCTGAAGTCTGTTTCTCTTTTCCTCTCCCTGCCATACAGAGTTTTATATGAAGGGAAAGAAAGGCTTATTCCGGGATGTGAAGTGATCCAAGCTACACCCTACGGTCGTTGTGCCAATGTCAACAACAGTTCGACCACTTCACAGAGGATCTTTATCACTTATCGAAGGGCTCCCCCAGTTCGACCCCAGAACTCCTTGGCCGTCACTGATGTCTGTGTTATTGTGAGCAGCAAAGGAGAAACCCCTCCTCATACCTTCTGCAAAGTTGACAAAAACTTAAACTGTGGGATGGTAAGAATAAAGATGTTTTATTTTCACAGTTTCATTTGAAGACAAAAGGGATACCTTTTTGGGCTCCTGTGTATTAGATGTGTATTTTTTATTAGTACTGTATATGTTTGCAATACATAGTAAATACACTCATTGTGGAGAATTGCTACATACACATAGCTCATCCTGATCCTAGGCCTACAATTTCATGTTGTATTTTTAATGATTGTTTTTATTGTTAACTCTCTGAGGGTTTTTGTTTGTTTGTTTTGTTTTGGTTTTTTGGTACCAGGGATTGAACTCTGGACCCTTTGTGCCTACCAGGCAGGCGGCAGCACCACTGAGCTAAATCCCCAGCCTGAGCTCTCTGAGTTTTATGATTAATAATAATTCTTAAAAATTTTATCTGGTGATTTACAATAAATCCAGAAAAAGAATATTTTAAGTCAGTTTTTTTACCTTTTGGGGAGGTAAGTCCTAATATTGTCTGTTATATCAGTATAATAGTTTTGTTATCTTTGGGTTCAGTAATGTCCGAAAGTACAGTTGAAGACAGCAGAGGAGAGGTGCCTTCACCTTTATTTTATTTATTTATTTATTTATTTATTTTAGGTGCCTTCACATTTTATTTATTTATTCATTTATTTATTTTTGGTACCGGGGATCGAACTCAGGTCCTTGCGCTTGTGAGGCAGGCAGCAGAACCACTGAGCTAAATCCTTGGCCCCTATTTATTTTAAATACTGTATTTTTGCATGCTTACACTTTAGAAGAACTCTCAAGAGGAAAAGTAGGGATATATTTGATTTGTAGTTGGTGCCCCGGGGATCGAACTCAGGTCCTTGCGCTTGTGAGGCAGGCAGCAGAACCACTGAGCTAAATCCTTGGCCCCTATTTATTTTAAATACTGTATTTTTGCATGCTTACACTTTAGAAGAACTCTCAAGAGGAAAAGTAGGGATATATTTGATTTGTAGCTTTATATCTGACTATTGTCAGATTTATTTTGAAAAATATCCTCCCGGGGATCGAACTCAGGTCCTTGCGCTTGTGAGGCAGGCAGCAGAACCACTGAGCTAAATCCTTGGCCCCTATTTATTTTAAATACTGTATTTTTGCATGCTTACACTTTAGAAGAACTCTCAAGAGGAAAAGTAGGGATATATTTGATTTGTAGCTTTATATCTGACTATTGTCAGATTTATTTTGAAAAATATCCTCAGATTAAATTCTTGTGGTTGGTTCAGCAGACACGATGAGCACCTGTAACCATGGGTGAAGGCACAGCAGTCCTGCAGGTCACGGATTCATAGCTGCACCCTGACTCCATTCTTCCCTGGTTGGGGCTCAGTGTTCACTCACTTTGTGCTTTTTCAAGCTGAAGTAGTCTCCGAATGACTACACAATTCTAAAGTTTTTGTGACTGTCCTTTTGTCTTACTCTTTTTCCTTTGGTGTTTCTTTTTTTTGGTTTTCTTAACAATGCTTTGCTGTATTTTATATTATATGGTCTGTTTGATAAACAGGGTTTTGTTGTAGTTGGTGTTGCTGGGATTGAACACAGGTCCTTGCACGTGCTAAGCCCATCCCCAGTCCTGTAAGCAGAGGTTTTTAGTAATCTCTGCTGAATAATCAAAATAATTAGATGACATTAAAGAAATTAATTTCTCTTCACTTTTTTTTGGAAGCCGGAGATCAAACTCAGGACCTTGCACTTGCGGGGCAGGCACGGTACCACTGAGCTAAATCCCCAGCCCATCTCATCACTTTTTTTTGTCTTTTCTTATGCTTAATTTTTGTTTTTCAGTGGGGTTCCAGTGTGTTTTTGTGTTACAAGAAGTCTGTGCCTGCTTCAAATGCAATAGCATATAAAGCTGGTGAGTGAATTAAAGATTTGTCTCAGTTACTGCAGTTATTGGTGCATATTACCATTTAGCTAGGAGAGTCAAGCTATGGTCCCTTATGTAGCTTATGGAATTGCTTTATTTATAAACTGAATTGTCTATAATTTCAGCATGTAAAGCATAAATTTTTTACTGCATTATGTACTATATGTCCCCTCATCCCCAAATATGCTGTTGATTAAATTTAAACTTCTATCCAAAGCAAGCATATGTGGAGTAAAAACAAGCTTTTGGTCTACACTAATAGATTTAACAATTTAATGAAAACTACTTATTCTCTTACCTTTTATATTTTGGCAATCAGAAAGGTGAAAAACTGCATCTTTACTTCTTATATTTCCTTCTCTTATCTTTGTGTGTCTTATTTGAAACCACATGTTACTTGCCATGAAAGGTGGACTTGCTTCCTTTCTCCCTTGTTGCAAAGAATCAGCTATATGGAGGAGAGGAGGGCCTGAGAAACTTTTCTGCCATGAAGTTTTTGAGAAAGCTATCGTCACATTGTTACTCCACAATAAAGTGTCAAGGGCTGTAAAGATTTAAGTGTGACCTCTTCATCCCACTGGTATGGTGGGATAAAAACTGAAAATACAGGTATGCTCCAGTTGTAAATAGAAGAGATGCTGGAATACTTCTTTGTAAAAAGAAGTAGTGCCAATTACTTTTTGATTATGCACAATTTTTGAAATGAAGTTGTACTTCAGGGAAGTCAGGCAAATACCTGAAAATTCTTGATTGTGCGTATAAAAATTCATACTAATGAATGAAACCATCTAATTTATAATACAAAAATAAAGGCAATACAAATGATATAAATTCAGTATCATCTAAACTATGATACTGCTAATATTGCTGTTCTGTGTTGATTGCATGTGATTTTCTAAAATATCTTTTTTTGGTGGGGAGGAGGTATTACTTTAAGAAACTCACAGAAAGAAGTGTTGCAAAAGTATTTAGGTATTTGATATGAGATGCTTATTTCAGAATACAGTTTCCGAGACTGATTTGGACTCAAAATCCTGATAGATTTTTGAGTTTTTAACTTAGAATTGATCAATATATTGGCAATATAAGAGACTAATTAACTAATGCCATTGAGCTACTTTATTCTAAAGAGGCTTTTAAAAATCCTTCTCAGAGTACTCTCTGTTCCTACTCTTCTGAGTCTCACATAGTCTACTCAGTCTCAGGGGTTTCTGTTTAGTCTACTTTTCATGTTGCATGCCTTTTACATTGCGTCTTGCTCAGTGTGAGCATAGGGTTGTGGTAATTTCTGCTGCCTTGGCATTATTTTATAACACTTGTCTCTTCCCTGAATTTTTTTTCCCCAAGACTAACTGAAATTATTGGTAAATTTTCCTCTATCTTAGCATTTTCTACAAGGTGTTGGCATATATAGAAAAAATACATTAAGATTGCTGATCAGTATTGGTTACATCGAGTTAGGGTAGTATATTTAATGTTTGCTTATTATAATGAACTGAGTTCATAGGTAAAATATAAAGTAAATTTTTTAGTTTATTTTGATTTCTACTATAGCAGGAAAAGATTTGATTTGAAATTTCACTCAAATACATATTGCCATGAAATTTGGTAATAAAATATCCTACTAACATGTATCATATATAACTCACAGAAAGCTAACCTTTAAAGGAAGTGTTTATCATTGTTTCCTTTCTCCAAAAGGTTTAATTTTTAGGTATCCAGAAGATGATTATGAGTCCTTTCCACTCTCAGAATCTGTACCCCTCTTCTGCCTTCCTATGGGAGCCACTATTGAATGTTGGGATCCTCAAACCAAATATCCACTTCCAGTTTTTTCAACTTTCGTCCTGACAGGTTCTTCAGCTGAAAAGGTATAATTTTGTCTTGTTAATTAAACCTATTTTGTCCATGCTTTTGCCTATAAATTAGTTAATATGAACAACAGCTTTATTTGAATGTTAGGATTGTTTGAATGAAAGAAATTTAAATTTATACTGTATCCAAGGTTTGGAGTCAACATGCAGTTGTCATACAGAAGCAAACAAAGTCTCTGTGGAGGACACTTCCAAAACCTGGATCTAAAGATGAAATTATAGAAACCAGAGACAGAATCCACATGACATAATATAAAGCTGGATTACACCTAACAACATCAAAATGATAAAATTACAGCATAAAAGAATGCTATTAATTGAATATGTAAATGAGATGAGTCAAGATCAAATAGAGGGATTCAAAATAACTGGAAGAATAAGGTTTAAAGCTGGGCGTGGTGGTGCACGCCTGTAATCCCAGCACTTGGGAGGGTGAGGCAGGAGGATCACTGTGAGTTTGAGACCAGCCTGGATTACAAAGTGAGTTCCAGATCAGTCTCAGGTCGGTCTCAACTACCTAGTGAGACCCTGTCTCAAAAAACAAAAACAAAAAAGAATAAGATTTAAAAAATGAATATAGGAATTGGGCCTGTAATCCTGGGTGGAGCCAGAAGGTTTAGGCAGGAAGATTGCAACTTCAAGCCTAGCCTGAGCAATTTAGCAAAAGTCTGTCTGGAAATAAAAAGGGCTCAGTAGTAGAGCTGTTGCCTAGCATGTGTGAGGCTCTAAATTTGATCCCCAGCACTGCAAGAAGAAAAAGACAAATTTGAAAATGAATTAAATGTATAGAAACTAGCAATACTGTCTTTAAAATCTGGGGAACAGGTTTATTTTATTTCAAAATTTTATTTTGAAACAGGGTGTCACTAAGTTGCCCAGGCTGGGCTTGAAATTTTGATCCATCTACGGGGGCCTCCTCAGTAGCTGGGGTTGTAGATGGCACATGGAAACATGCCATCTCTGTTTTTCACTTCCTCTACTTCTCTCCTTTTTGTGTTCCTTTTTACACACTTGTTTGTTTTTGTTAGTACACATGATTACATGCACCGTGGGGACACATCCTAATTCCCTTTCGCCTCCCCTCCATCCCTCCTCCCTCCATCTCTTGCTCTTGCACTTCCTTCTGATTAAAAGTCAAGTTTATGTCCACTGTTTGCATAACAAGCATTTTTTTCTAAGAGAAGGCACGTCTAAATTCTGCCAGTAACGGCTTTCAAGGGATGGCAGCCAAATCCTGGTTTCCATGCCCTTCAGTCTTCTCTATAAACATGGGAGAGATTTGGAACTTTGGAGCTTGGAAGGGCAGCTGACGTGGAAGCCAAGTCTCGGGAGCTGAGTATTTTCTAGTCTGAGATTCAACACTCTGAGCTAGAGATCCTGAGATAGGCATATACTCAGTCTCTCTAAGCCTTGGTTTTCTCTTCTGTTAGATAGGAATAATCCCTTACAGGCTCAAACTTAAAACCAAAGTATTTTATAAAGTGCTATGCTGATGTTGTTTTCATTTAAAAGTAAAAGCAGAGTACAAACAAAATCCTGGTAAACCCCTCCCCCAAAAAAGGAAGTTCAAGAATTTCATTCTGGTGGCCAAAAATACCTTCTACTAGCCCGAATTTTCTCCCTTTCTATTATAAAATTGTATTATTTTAATTTTTAGTGGGAAGTTAAGATAATTACTCTGGCTGAGTATGGCAAGCCTATAATCCCACCACCATGAGAAGCTGAGGCAGGAGGACTGCGTTTGAACTCAGTCTGGGCAATTTAGGCACTTAGCAAGACTGTGTCAAAACAAAACAAACAAAGGGCTGGGGATGTAGCTCATTGCAAAGGCCCTGAGTTCAAGCTTCAGTACCAGCAAAAAAAAAAAAGAAATTGAAGATAACTACTGAAGGCATTGGAGTTTTTTTAGAAATAAAGAAGTAGTCTGGCATTATTTGGGGAGCTAGGAATTACAATATAAAGAATAAAATTCAGTGAATGATTTAAGCAACAGATAAGATAGACTGAAGGGAGAATTAGTAAAGTGGAAGATAGATTTTCCTAAATGTGATACAGAAAAATGTAAAACATAAGACAGAATTGGAAAATACACAGGATAGAATCAGAATGTACAATAATAACTTATTGAATGTCCCAAGGGAGGGTAGAAAAGAAAAAGGACAACATTGTAAGAGCATTGATTGAGAGTTCTAAGGTTGATGGGAAGTCTCAAAGATGCACTCCGGGCCAGTGATGTAGCTCAGTGGCACCACATCTGCCTCACCAGGTCCTGAGTTTGATCTCTAGTACTGGAAAAAAAAAAAGATTAACCTACAGCAGAAAATTACATAAATCACCCCATTCATGTTACAGTGAAGGCACAGAACATCAAAGACAAAAAACAAAATAATAGAGAAAAGATATTAGTTGCCTTGTGTAAAAGATATATTGTACAGGACTATAATAATGACATAAAATGATAGATTAAAAGAGACAAAAATTAAAATATTAAGGAATAAAAAGCATGGAACAGTAATGATGAACTTTATTAGAAAACTGGATAAAATAGGCACATTTATTGAAAAAATTAAAGCTGACTTGTGAATCAAGCAATAAATCTATGGCCTCATTCTGCAAGTTTATGATCAATATATTAAAAATAGTGTATATAGGGGTCCAACATAGTGTCTGAAGATGATGCAGAGAAAGGTTGGGAGGAAGGGATGGCCATGGTGTTTCACAGATGAAGTGACACCTTAGCATTATTTTGGAGAATGAAAGGAGGCACTAGTGCATAACATAAATGTATGGCACAGAATTTTGGAATAGCGTATGCACCCAAAAACATAATAGGTGTGTGTGGTTGAATGTGACCAGCAGGTATTATCAGAAATTGAGAACATCATGCCATGTACCTCGACTGTGATATTTTACCTGTTAAGAGGAGCTTTTGAAGGATCAAATCATTTACTCAAAGGACTTTTAAATACTTCCTTTTCTCACTGACAGCAGTTAGGGCTTAGTGGTTCCTTTGAGTGTGCTGGCTTGAGTCTTGGGAGCTATGAGGGAGGAGATTGTGAAGTTTTGTCATTGAGTGAGATTGGGAACTTTAGGAGAAGTATGTATGTAATGAGTTCACTTTTTAAAAGAATGGCTTATGGTGCTTGTGGAACATCCAGGTAGAGAGATTGTCAAGGCATTTAGAAATGGGAGTCTAGAGTTCAGGAAAGGGGTCACAGAGCCAAAGATAAAGATGTATGTAACAAAAAAAAAAAAAAAAAAAATCCCAAGAGAATGAAATTTTCTAAGTAGAATTAGAAGTGAAATATGAAGTTAGAACACGGGGAATACCAGTGTTGAAGAGATGGGTAATGTAATTGGAGCTGCTGTAAGGAAGAGAAAACTAGCCAGACTAAAAAGAGAAATTTGAATGGTCAAAGGTGTCAAAGGAGTAAAGAATTTCAAGGCAGAGGAGTATCAGCTAGCTATATTTTGTTTCATAGATCAGAAGAAGTTAAACACTGGAGGTATTTCAGTGAGAAAGTCATTGGAGATCTGAGTTAAGATTGTTTTATTGGAAATAGAAGGTAGATTGTAGTAGACCGAGGTAAAAAGTTAGAGGTACTTAATGTAGAAGAGCAGAGATTTCAGTAGGTTAAAGGTGGTTGACTAAACAGTTTAGGAAAAGAGAGTAATTAGGGCTACATAGGAGCCCATAATTAGAAAGAAGCTGAAGGGACAAAGGGAATAAAAAGTTTAGATGTGAATGAAAAATAGTCAGGGCTTATACCATATATAAGAATAAACTCATAGCTGGGCACGGTGGTGCAAACCTGTAATCCAGTGCTCTGAGAGGCTGAGTCAGGATTGTAAGTTGAAGCCTAGCCTGGACAGTTTAGCAAGCTAGTGAGACCTTGTCTTGAAATTTATAAAACTTTTTAAATGGGCTGGGAATATAGCTCAGTGTGAAGGCCTTGGGCTCTTTCCCTACTACTGCAAAAACAACAAAACCAAAGCAACACTCAGGGATGGCGATGTAACTCAGTGGTAGGGGAAATTGTTGTGACGCTTGCTGGAGATTTCCATTGTGACACCAAAAGCACAGGTAGCAAAAGGAAAAAAATGTATAAATTAGACGGCTCCAGAATTAAAAACTTTCATCTGTTAATGACACTGTTAGCATGAAAGCAATCCACAGAAAGAGAGGATTTATTTTGGTTTAAAAACATTTTTTTTTAAAATTGTGATTGCTGGGGCTCAAACCCATGGCTTGGTACATTCTAAGCAAGTGTTCTGCCACTGAGCTGCAATGCCAGCTAATAAGCTGTTTATGTCCAGAGTGTGTAAAGACCTCCTACAACTTAACAAACAAACCTGAACAACCAGTTTAAAGAATGGGTAAAAGACTTGAGTAGCTGTTTCTCTAAAGAAATGCAGATGGTTAATAAGATCACAAAAGATGATCCACATCTCATCATTAGGAAAGTTAAAGCATAGTGAAATACTACTTCAGACCTATTAGGGTGGTTATTTTAAAAAACAAAAGCCCCTGAATTAAGTACTGTTGAGAATGCAGAGAATGTTGGTGCCCTTGAAGATTGCTAATGGAAATGTAAAGGGTGCTCCTGCTGTGGAAGTTCAGCATCTTCCAGAAGATAACAGAATTACTGTATGATCCAGCAGTTCCACTCCTAGGTACATACATGCCCGATAGAATTGAAAGCAGAGAATCAGAAAGAATTTGTACACCAGTATTTATGGCAGCATAATTCACAGTAGCCGAAAGATGGAAACATCCTAAATGTACACCAGTGGATAAATGGGTCAGCAAAATGTGATGGGTACCTACAGTGGAATGTTACTCAGCCTTAGGAAGAAGTGAAATTCCTGGGTATGCTGCCACATGAATGAACTTGGAAAACATTATGCTAAGTAAAATAAGGACACAAAAAGAACAGATACTGAGTGACCCTACTTTATAGGAGGTACCATTAGAATAGGCAGATTAATAAACAAAAGTAGATTATCACAGATGGGCTGGGAGTGGGATGATCAGCACTGTTTAAGAGGTATAGAATTTCTCTTTGGGGAGATGAAAGTTCAGAAACACACAGTCGTACATTACAAAGGTTAATACCACTCTCTGGAGTGTATACTTAAAAATGATGAAAGTGATAAATTTTATTTATGTGTATTTTTTCACTCTAAAGAAAATCACGTACAACAAGTGTAAGTTGAGTAATATCATTAGAATACATTCTGTATGGTGGGTGCTAGGTACAGAATTTCACTATGTAATTTATAATTACAGCAAGCTCCAGGAAGTTGCCAAACATTTTGTGTCAGATATATGCTTGAACGTATAATTACAGTAGAAAAAATATAGAGGGATTTATATTAAAGTCAGTTTATCCCTAAGGTAGAATTTTCGGTGAGATTTTTCTTTTCATTTATTTCTAAGTATACATTCCTAGCAGCTATTTCTTATTTAGTAAGAAAGGAAATTAATTTTTAAAAGCAGTCTTATAACAGAATTTTGTTATTTTATAGGTCTATGGAGCTGCCATCCAGTTTTATGAACCTTTCTCTCGGGACCTTCTAACAGAGAAGCAGCTTGTGCAGCTGGGCCTGTTGACACCTGTGGAGAGAAAAGTGGTCCCCAAATCCATCAACTCAAACAAATGCATTTGTTTACTCTCACACTGGCCTTTTTTTGAGGCTTTTAGAAAATTTCTTATGTTTATCTACAAACTTTCTGTGTCTGGACCACATCCTCTTCCCATTGAAAAGTATGTATAATGAAAAGAGCAGTGTTTAGTGGCAAAACTGGATCTATAAATACAAATTTCGTTGTTTCTCCAAACTTTAGCAGCACAGTTGAAAAGGAAAGAGGAATAGTCACTGTACTTCTATTCCTTCTTTGCTTGAACCACCCACTCTGAACTTGAAGAGGGGGCTAAGGGCAGTCCACTATCAATCTTTTGAGAATTTAGCTGAGGAAGTGACGCAGATAAATTTGTATTTTCTGTGTTCCTGTTCCTATTCATTCTCTAATAACAGGCGTGCACACACACTTACACTCTGCATACAGTTGGGCAGCCTGTATTCTAAGTGTAATACATGACCTAACCAGTGAAGAAATTGTTAGGATGAGGCATCAATGTTGTTTGTAAGTAAGATTTGGTTTTAGCACAAGACAGAATTCCCCAAGTTTTCCCTTGGGTTTGTAATGGGAATCTTTTGTAGGAAAGAAAAGTAGGTGTGGAGCCACTGTGTCTTTTTCAAACTCTTTTCTGTTTGCTATGGTCCATTGATGTTTGTTTGTCTTTTGCCATCCTGGGGATGGAGTCCAGAGCCTTTGTACTGAGCTGCATCCCCAGCCCTTTTTATTTTTTTATTTATTATTATTATTATTATTATTATTATTATTATTATTATTATTATTGTTATTATTATTATTATTATTTTGGTAGCCAGGATCAAACTGGGGTCCTTGCACTTTAGGGGAATGTGGTGGAAATAATGAGCTAAATCACTAGCCCTTTATTTTTTATTTTGAGACAGGTCTTGCTGAATTGCTAAGTTGCCCAGGTTGAACTTGAACTTGTGATCCTCCAGCTTGAACCTCCCAGAGTGCTGGAATGACAGGCCTGCCCCACCACACACACACACACACACACACACACACACACACACACACACGCCTAACTTTTGTTTACTATTGTATATAATTTATGTACCTTGCTAACCAAAGTAAAAAGTAAAAAATTTCAAGACTTTTATGTAAACTTATTAAAACTTGGTATATAAAAAGGGTTTCAACTTTAATGTTGTATTCCTGGAATGCTCATATAATGGTTCATATTTGTAGACTTAACTTTCAGCTGTCAAATTAATTTAAAATTTTTGAAATAAAATTCATTGTTGGCTACATGTTAGCAAACTTGAAAAACTTAATGTATTGATAGCTTGTGAAAATAAAATCAGCATATATGATTTTTTTCTCAGTTAAGATATTGTCTTTCACTTTATTGGGCTCCTAAGAGTTCAAAATTTTGGAGAAATTTAAATATTATTTCTAGGTATAAAAATAGAATAAGTAGGAGTTTGTCCAAAATTATGGTAGTAAATCTGGGATTAATTCTGTATTAATGCCAGGGGAGGTGGCACATACCTATAATCCCAGCTACTTGGCAAGTTTAGAAGGCTGAGGATGTAGTTTGTGTAGTATTCTTAAGGCCCTGTATTCAATACCTAGAACTGAAAAAAATTAAAAATAAAAAGGATTCTGTATTGTTGATTTGTTATATCAGAGTTTCTCCCTGATAACCAAGGCACTGATTACCAGGGCTATAAAAATTAGCTTTTTAGCCAGGCATGGTGATTTTTACATGTATAAGCCTGGCACTTAGAGAGGCTAGGCTGGACTGAGCCCAGCTTGGGCAATTTAGTGACTTAGTGGGACTTTTATGTTTAAAAAAAAAATTTAAAGAGGCTTATTGTGTAAGCCCTGGGTTCAATCCCCTGTACTAGAAAAAAAAATTAACTTCTTTATGAGAATTATTTTTATGGCTTTTTTCTGGTGATAATAGAGGATGTTAATACAGACTTTGAGTTAGAAAATACATTGTGCATTTCAGTTTAGTGTATATTTACATTGCAATTCTTCCTACCCTCTCTCCGCCCTCCCTAATCCTTTCCCCTCCTTTCCTTCCCTTACCTCCCCTCCCCTCCCCTCCGGTCCCATCCAGTCCCATCCTGTCCCATCCCATCCCATCCTGTCCCATTCTGTATCATTTTCTCCTCCCACCCCATACTGGGGATTGAACCCAAGGCCTCAAGTATGCTGGGCAAACTTTGCCACAGAGCTGTCTGGCATAGTGTAGTGATGTTTAAGATTTGTTAAAGTACTGTATATGAAACATGTTACTAATTATGGTCATTATTTCATTATGTTTTCTAGACACATTTCACATTTTATGCAAAACATCCCTTTTCCTTCACCACAAAGACCAAGGATTCTTGTCCAGGTAATCAAGAAGTAGTTTGTTTTGGGACAGCTGCTTATATTCATTCCAGTCATTACAGAATGAATCCTATGGCCCTTTGAATGAGATGAGCAGTACACGTTCATGAAGTTCTTGAATTTCCTTTATTTAATGGCTTCACTGAACGTTCTTGTTTTTTTTTTTTTTCTACTGGGGATCGAACTCCGGACCTTGTTCTTGCAAGGCAGGTGTGGTGCCACTGAGCTAAATCCCTGGCCCTTTACTGAACATTCTTAAGGGCTTTTGGATCCTGGATGCACAGATTTGGAATAATTGTAATTTTTGATTCATGATATTGTTATCATTGCTCCATGCCTGGCCTTTACGTAGCTAATTTTAATCTTGTAAAACCCAGAGTTATATTATGGTTATGTTCTCAATAACAGAATGACTAATAAATATGAAATGAACTGATGGGGACATGAAACAGTTTACAGTGACAATTTTTCAAACTCTATGCTAAAGCAGTTGTTTCTTTTTCTAACAAGTGGCAAAGCTAGATAGCCCTATAGCTTGTGACATGCACAGCTTACTGAGTGAGATGTTGTAGATACAGACAGGTCCCACCCGGTCATAAGTGACTGCATGAATTGCTTATTGGATGTAGGCGTGAGGTCAGATTGTCAGAAAAGCTGCCGGGTTGTTTTTGTCTTCATTTATATGCTGTCTCTTTCTGGACAAGAACTATTTGCATATTAGCAGTTTGAGTTATACTGTTCGGTAGAGGCAAGCTATTTAATGATTTTCCTAAGAGATTATAAACATTGGTCTTGAACACAGTTCAATTCAGCAAGTATTAATATATACCAAACAACTATTAAATGCTTAACAGTCTGCTGAGTAAATAAATTTGAGGTTTTTATAAAAAATTACATTCTAAAAATTTTAACTGCCTTTTTTTTTTTGTGGTGATGAAATATTTATCTTTATGGTAATAGGTCCGTAAGTATATATACTTGACCAAACTGATTAAATATGTTGAGTCTGTTGGTGTTTCTTTCCTTTTTTTTTACTTCTATCAGTACAAGTGTGCAGCACATAATTATTACATTAACTGTAAGATTGTTACATGTACATAAAACAATTAAATTTCCTTCTTTCCTCCCCTCTACACTCCTTTTATTATTCCAGCATCACATTCATTTCTTATATCTTATAAAGTTAATATACCGATTGAAAGCCAGATAAAGAGGCCGAAGATGTAAGATACGTATGCAAGATGGAAGTTATGTAACACAATTGTACTAAGTCAAAGTACACTTTTGGATACTTTGTCCACACTGGATAAGCATATCAATTTTAAAACAACCTGTACTTCCCTATGTATTTCAGATACAGACAAGTGAATATATTTCAAATTTTATTGTAGACCTTTTTCATTGAAGAAAAAACACTTTAAAGGTAAAAAAAAAATATCGTTTCCCATAACAATTATGATCAAGATTCTTAAAATATACAGTAAGCCAACATTTCTTCCTTCAGTTGCTTACAATTTGTAGGACAGTGTACACATAGACAGCAATTAGAAAACAAGTCAGGTTGCAATACACTGTGAACCACAGTGCAGAAAGTGTACACATTGCCTCATGTTTTAGAAAGGGACTGGCTGTATGATGACATGGTTTTGTTTTATTTTCTCCACAAATAGTCCAATGCCAAGTAACTGCCTTTTAACCAGTTAACTGAATGAAAACTGCAAAATTAAGTTTAAAAGAAGCAGTGCAGTATCTGAGTGAATACAGTTATCATTTTACATCTTAGTATGTTTCAAAGAGTTTCTCTGCATGTTGAATTATTTTCTATTTGCCCTTTGTCTATATATTCAGATTTCAGAATTGTTTTGGTTAATTTATCTTTTTTTTTTTTTCCTAAGCTGTCAGTCCATGATACACTGATACTGTCGCAGCCAGTTTCTACACCTTTACCACTAAGGTAATTAATGGTATTTATTTATTGTTTTGGGGGTGGAACCCAAGGCCTTGAGCATGCTAGGCAAGTGCTGTATCACTAAGCCAAGCCCATAGCCCAGTTAATGGCTTTTAAATGATGTGTTTATTCACTTGGAGCAGAGTGCTTTAAAATATAGGGGCTAGGGTAACAAAGCTAAATGTTATTTTACAAAACTGCATTTCTATTTTTGGTAACTGGCTGAGTGATAGTGTTTTTTTTTTTTTTTTTTTTTTTTTTTTTTTTTTTTGTACCGGGAATTGAACTCGGGTCCTGGTAGTGCTATTTTGACAGTGGTAACAAAGAAATTACTAGGTTGGATATAAGGAATTCTTAACTTTCTTTGATCTCTCCCATATCTAGTTCATAGGTAAATGTTTAAAGTTTGCTGATTTCAACCTGAATATTTGAATCTAGTTGCTTTTCTTCATATGTATCACTAGTCCAGCCTAGCATAATCACTTACCTGGACTACTACTTTTTTACTTTGGGTTTTTGAGACAGGGTGTCAACTGTAATTCAGGTTGTCCTTAAACTCACTAGGTAGCCCAGACCAGCCTCGAACTTGAAGTGATCCTCCTGCCTTAGCCTCCTGAGTGCTTGGATTACAGGTGTGTGCCACCACGCCTGGCACTACTTCATTGTTAACCTCTCTTTTTTTTTTTTGTAGTACTAGTGATTGAACCCAGGCCCTAGTGCTATATCACTGAGTATATCCTCTGTCCTTTTCTCATTTTTTATTCTGAGATAGGTCTTCTTAAATTACCCATTTAAGCAACTTTCAATCCTCTTGGGCAGCTGGAGTTATAAGCACCACCATGCCCCACTCATTCATTATCTACCTCTTGATTGATCCTTTTGCCTCTCTTTGCTTCTGTATCCACGGTACAGCCAGGGTGTATCCCTTTGAGAATGCAAATGCAATAGTGAGATTTCAGTTTCAGCCCGATCTTGTTTATTCTTATTTCTTCCCTTGCTGCGCAGGTCCTTGGTGTGACCCTGGTGTACATACTGTCTCTCACCCTCCATCCCACCCCTGCCTTTATTCTTTTGAGCTCTGCTCAAATGGTTGTGTGTCAGGAACATCTCTCCTAATAAATGCTCTTTGTTGCTAACTAATGATGTTTAATTACCACTTTTATCACAGGATGAGTTTAAGTCACCCCATGGTACTATTTCACTAAATCTGCTGCTTTTTATTTTTGATTCATTACTGTCTAGACTCTTAACACTAGGTTCTCAGGCTATTAATATTGAGAAAATGATTTAATAAGCAAATCCTAATACATTTTAGCAAAGTGGTTCATAATCCTTTTTCCTTTTTCCTAGTGGAGCCAACTTTAGCACCTTACTGATGAATCTGGGTCCTGAGAATTGTGCAACACTGCTGCTTTTAGTTTTACTTGAGAATAAAATTCTGCTGCATTCTCTTAGGCCAGCTGTGTTGACTGGGATAGCTGAAGCTGTTGTAGCTGTAAGTATAGTGTTTTCCTTTATAACAAAATAACGGACAGAATTTGCACTCCAAAGAGAAATCTTCAAAGAAAGCAACTTTAAAAATTGTCAGCCAAGTAAATGTTTAACTTAAATATAATTGGATTGCAGGGTTGGGGATTTGTCTCAGTGGTGCCACCACCTGCCTCACAAGCACAAGGTCCCTAGTTTGATCTCTGGTACCAAAAATAAATAAATAAATACACACACACACACACACACACACACACTATTAGATTGCAAAGAAACACCAACATTATTAAGAAAAGAAAGGTGATTTCTGTTTGAGGAGAAATATCAGTTGTTAATTTTTCATTTTAGAGTTTTCCAGAGAGTAGAAACTGGGGTTGGGGATTTAGCTCAGTGGTGCCGCTGCCTGCCTCAACCACAAGGACCTGAATTCGATCCCAGGTATCAAAAAAAAAAACCAAACCAGAGAGTAGAAACTGTATGATTGCCAAAATGTGTAGCTGGGCGTGGTGGCACACACCTGCCATCCTGGTACTTGGGAGGCTGAGGCAAAGGATCACCATGGGTTCAGGGCCATCCCGGACTCCATAGTGAGAGCCTGTCTCCAAAAAAACTTGTAAGTTAAGCTGATTGTATTAAAAAGTTCCAGCAGGCCAGGGATTTGGCTCCTACCACCTGCCTTGCTAGCTCAAGGATCTGATTTCAACCCCCGGTACCAAAAAAAAAAAAAAGATTGGCTTTAAAAAGCTCTGCAACAATGCATAAGATTCTAATAAGATTACTGACATTTAGAAATGGGAAGAAAGGAGCTAAAGGTGTAGGGAAGGTGGGATGGGTAGGGGAAGGGTAATAAGGGAAAAGGAAAATCCTAAGTGAAATAAATAAGTCACACATGTGTAAATACTGAATAGTTTCCCTGGTGTAAATAATCTGCAACAATGCATAAGATTCTAATAAGATTACTGACATTTAGAAATGGGAAGAAAGGAGCTAAAGGTGTAGGGAAGGTGGGATGGGTAGGGGAAGGGTAATAAGGGAAAAGGAAAAAATGTGAGAGAATGAAAAGATGAAAATAAAGTGTTTGTAGATGGAGAGGGGAGGAGGGGGTGAGGGGAGGGCAGAGGTAAGGGGAAAAATGACAATCAAGACTTGCCATGTAGAGGTACATGTTCCCAACAATGAATTAACTGTACTGTATCCCTAAAATGTACCAATAAACTCAATAAAATTAAAAAAAAAGCTCCAGCCAGTTGTAGCATAAATTATGCAAATAAATTACATGGTTAATTTCTTCCCATTTTACGTTAATCACTGTGTCTGGTAACATACAGGACTTGATGATGAGTAGGATAAGTACATAGCTCTCATATAAAGCACAAATAAAAATTGAACCAGACCCTTCCTGTTTAAAACTCTACTATAGCTTCTTACTGTACTTAAAAATATAATCATGTAGGACTTTGTAAACCTGTGTCCTGTTAATAATTATAAGTCTCTGCAAGTATGAACTTGTCTGTTTACTTCTGTATTCTCAGTACCTACTGCTCTTGTGTCATAGCAAGGTGTAGGTATTTAGTAAATACTTTTAAAATAACAGAAAGTGTCAATCTCCAGGATCTTTTGGCCCAGGCTCTTGACTGATTTCAGCAATACAGTGCAAGGATAGGTGGAAAAATGCAAGGTTATGTAAGGTTTAGGTAACTGATTGTGTTTTCGATATTGGTTTTTGATTTTGGTTTTTTTGTGGAGACAGGGTCTCGCTTTTGTAGTTCAGGCTGGCCCTGAACTCAATATGCAGCCCAGGCTGGCCTAGAACTCATGGCAATCTTCCTGCCCCAGGCTCCTGAGTGCTGGGGTTACAGGTGTGTGCACAGTTACAGTGCTATGCCCAGCACTGGTAACTGATTTGTTAAAAACTTTTAATTTTTATTAGTCCATGTTTGCAGTATATAATGATTATAGTCATTATGGGAGTTGGTCTGTGTCCGTAACACATCTTAATCCTTCTTATATCGTCCCCTCCCCCGCTCCTTTGATAAGTGATGTTGGAGAACCGAATTGCACACAGTATGATTGATGAATCAAGATATTGTAGGCAGGCAAGTTAGCATTTGAAGAACAGAAGACTGAAAAGAGTGGTAACAGGACACATGCTTCCAGAGGAAAATGATCTGAATATCAAAGAATGAATGAAGACTCATAGCAAAGATTTTAGTGCTTTTTAAAAAATGAACCCATGTACAGATGTGTTGCAAAGCCCAAGGAGTAGACCGAGATGTCATATGTGGCTGTTACATAGTTCTGTTCTGAAATTTCTGGGTTGCAGGTGTGACATCTGTTGAACAGAGGATAGTTTTAACTTGGGGAGATTGTAGGTCCTGGGGAAGTCTTGTCCTCGTGGCTGCCAGTCAGCTCTCTGGTCCTGTTCTTTGATTGCTCTGTCCCTTGCTCATTTCTTCCAGCCCCACTGCCGTTTTTGCTGCCTCTAACAGTCCCCATACTCAGGCCCTTGCCTTAGCTATGCCTTGTTTTTGCTTTGCAGTGCTGGGGATTGAACCCAGGGCCTTTACACTGAACTCCATCCTCAACCCTTTCTAATTTTAATATTTTAAGTCGGGGTCTCACAGTCCCTGAGTGGTCCAGGCTGGGTTTGAACTTCACTTCTCTTGCCTCATCTCCCCGAGTGAGTGCTGGGGTTACGGCCCTGTAGGACTTCCTCCCGCCCTGCTCCTTCTCTTCAAGCACCTTTCTCAGCGATGTCCTCCCCCTGGGCTGAATCCCTCATGGTCTTCTGGTTTCAGTCCACTTACAGAAAGTGCATGTGCTTTTTCCTGTTCTGAACTCTGTTACCTTCACATGGCCTTACTTTTTCTTTAGCTCTATCACTTCGAACTGTACACTTTATTCATAGCATCATGTCACTTCATATTGTGTTTATTACATCTTTTGCTTATTTTCTATCTTTTCCCCTAAGATCAGGTGTTGTCAGACTGTGGCCAAATTCTGCCTATCACCTGTTTTTCCAAATAATAAAGTTTTTTTGACATACGACATTTATTTACATATGACCTATAACTGTTTTCATGCCAAACAGATGAGTTAAGTCATTGTTACAGAGGCAGTATGGTTTGGAAGGGTTAAAATATTGAAAACATTTTATAGAAAAAAGACTCTAATTTTGGACTGTGAGGGCAAGGATCTTTTTTTAAATTTACTATTGTGGTCTTGTCATCTAGAACAGTGCTTGGCACCTAGTAAGTACTCAGATTCATAGTAAGTAATAATGGGTAAAAATCCCAATCCTGAGTAACCATTTGTAATAACTGGCAGAGGGTAGTGAGTGCTAGAGGCATTTTCGGGGGTGAATAATGAGCAAGACTTGGAAAAATTGTGAAGATTTTTGCGAGAGCAAAAACATATCAGTGACGAACATTTTCTTATTAGCTGATTATTTAGAAATTTTAATCATTTTCAACTTAACAGACAGCTGTGTGTATGTGTTTTTTAAAGAATACATGTTATAATTAAGGTAGATTTTTGCAAAGGCAAATGGGTAAAGATTGTTATGGAACAATTTATATTAACTGTTTTTGAGATCTCAAGCTTTCCTGCAGTTGGATTATTTTAAATGTTTATTTGAACACTAACTTTTTGTTGCCATTTTCAAGTGACTTACCATTCCCAAGAGAATCATTAGTTTAAGTTTTTTTATTATTATTATTGATACTGGGGATTGAACACAAGGCCTTTGCACTGACCTGTCCCAATCTTTAACAAAAAATTTAAATTGTTTTTGTTGCTTTGCTTTTAATTTGTTTGTTTTTGTTGAGACAGTCTCACTGAGTTGCCTGGGCTAGGTTTGAATTTGTGCTCCTCCTGCCTCAGCCTCGCAGAGAGCTGGGATTATAGGTGCGTGCTACTACACCTGGTTTTTTTATTAATGTTTTTTAATGTAATGTTTGGGGTTGAACCCGGAGCCTTGTTCATGCTAAAAATAAGCATGAGTTCTACCACTGAGTTATGTACTTCCAGGCCCGTTAGTTGGGTTTTGTCTTGCTTTGGTTTTTTGAGACAGGGTCTCACTGTAGTTCAGGCTGGCCTTGAACTCAGTGTATGGCCCAGGCTGGCCTCGAATTCATAGCTATCTTCCTGCCTCAGCCTCCTGAGTGCTGGGATTACAGGCTTGCACTACCTCTCCTGGCAAGATTTTTAAAAAATCCTTAGTGCTCTTAGTTGGATCTTGGCTAAAAGTTATTGTGAGAATAGATGGATGGAATGCATACATATTTGTTTTATGATTTGGGGGGCCAGTTTTATCTCTGTACTTTTAGTCTTTCCATAAAATGGAAATATGGGTTTATATATAAGTATTGAAGAATTAATGTGCCAAGAACTGTTGGCATTTATATTATGCTTCTTACATTGCCATGTTTGAAATTTTTAATCACATTTGTTTATAGTTTTGCTTAGTAATATTTTATAGTCACTATTTTTAGAATGAAGTTTTATAAACTGAACTTCACTATTTTTCAGTGGTCCCTGTTTAGTAATATTAGTTAATTAAGTAATTTTCATTAAACTGAAATTTGGTTAACTGTCTAAAACCTTTTCCCCAGATGATCTTTCCATTCCACTGGGAATGCCCATATATCCCGCTGTGTCCTCTGTCACTGGCTGCAGTGCTCAGTGCGCCTGTGCCATTCATAGTCGGAGTTGACTCGAGGTACTTTGATCTTCACGACCCACCACAGGACGTTGTTTGCATTGACTTGGATACGAACATGTTATATGTGTAAGTTGATTATGTTATCTACTACCCCTGCATTTTTCACCATACAGCTCTTTGAAAACATCTAGAAATAGCTGTTTGGGGAGTTGTTAGTAAGTCTACATCTTTACTACAATTCTTAAGCAAGAAAGGTATCAGAATCTGGGAAGGCTATGTGGTTTTGAAAAAAATATTAAAAATGAAAATGTTAAAAATATTTAGTGTTAATTGTAGGCAGGAGATATTTGGGTTTATCAAAAGAGAATATGGGTTTGAAAAAAACTGCCAGGTGTGGTGGTGCACACCTGTAATCGGGGCACTCAGAAGGCTGAGGCAGGAGGATCACTGCAAGTTTGAGGCTATCCTGGACACATACTGAGTTCAAGGCCAACCTGAACTATGTAGCAAGAGCCTGTCTCAAAAAAAAGGTTAATCACTACTTTCAGAACTCAGGAGATGATATCCTTTCTAGGTTTACTACAAAATCCCCATGTAAGTAAAATAGGTTTACCTGTTTAAAGTAAAATATAATTGCTGTAAGAGCAGTGGTAGTGAACCTATGGCATGCATGCCACAGTAGGCTGTTTGTATCATTGAAAGCTATGAAAGGTTCACCATCACTGCTATAAAAAATGATATTACACATTTTCTTAATTATCAGGATTTCGATTTTATAAAGATTTCTTCTTTCATGCCTCTTTCCTTCTTTCCTTCTTTTCTTCCTTTCATGATTCTAAGAATCAAATACAGGGCCTTACACATTCTAGGCGGGTGCTCTACCACTGAGCTACTTCCCCAGCGCAGGATCTGTCCTTTACTGCATAGAAATTGATATTGATGAGAAGAAGCCGTAGAGGCACATTGATACACTTGGAAGGTAGAGCTGGGCATGATGCTGCCCTTCCCAGCGTTTGGAAGGGTGAAGTAGTAGGATCATGAGTTCAAGACCAGCCTGGGCTACATATGAAATATTCCAGATCTCTAAAAGTGGTAGAGAATAATGCAGATAATTCCCATCTCCCTGTCTGCCACCCAGACCAAGAATGAAGTATCACCAGGATGCTTAAACCTTCAGATGGTCCTCCATAGTCATTTCTTGTTCCATCTCCCAGAGATGGCCATTGGCTTGGGTTTGGCTTTTATAGTTTATTTCCTTGTGTTTCATATGCATTTATTCTTTATGTATTGGTCCAGATAAATTTGTTTTGCATGCTTTCAAACTTTGTGCACGTCAGTAGTTTCTGGGAGTCCCTCAGCGTTCTTTGTGACGCTTTTCCATCGGCACATGAATCCCAAGTTGTGTTCCGGGAGGCAGACTGATATGTGTGCAGGTTGTACACTTGCAGTTAGGTCTAGGTTGTCCTGACTCTTACTGTGCACACCTCACCGAGGAGGCGGGTAGGCCACTGTGACATGTGCATCTGGAGGAGTACTTCTGGTTTGGTGGACAGTGAGCACTTTCCACTGCTAAATGAAGCTCATTGTTCTCCAGGGCCAGGGCCTCCTGCACCAGCTCAGAGCCCCCTGTCATGTGCCTGCAGCATTGTTATGGTCAGACTTTTAAAGTGCTTGCTGATTTGACAGAGAGCACGTCGCACTCTGGCTTCAACTTACATTTCCCTAGTCAGTTAGACGCCTTGATTTTTGCTCTTTGATAGTCTATTCCTCTCTTTTGAATTGGATGTTCTTCTTCGTCTTTTTTTTTTAATGAGATAGGGTCTCTATGTTGGCCTCATACTCTGAGCTCAAGCATTTCTCTTCCTTCACCCTCAATTTTTCTTTATTGATTACTGGTTGTAGTTCTGTTCATTTCTTTTCTTTTTTGTACCCGGGATTGAACTCAGGTCCTTGGCGCTTGCGAGGCAGGCGACAGAACCACTGAGCTAAATCCTCAGCCCTGTTTTTTTTCTTTATAGTTCTGGGGATCAAACCCAGGACCTCACACATGCTAAGCACACAGTCTACCACTGGGCTACATTTCCTGTCTTTGTTTTTGATTCTTTTTTGTGAAACCTTTGCCATGGGATTTTGAAATACTGTCCTGCATATTTTTAGTCGCAGAGTTGTTGTCTCTCCCATTTAGGTCTTTAATTCAGTGAAATTTCATTGAGTGCATTGTTATCATTTTTTCACATAAACAATTGTCATATAGACTTCTTTTCTATTTTGAGGTAGGGTCTTGCTGTGCAGTTCAGGCTGCCCTTAAGCTCAACTCTGTAGACCAGGCTGGCCTGGAATTGTGGTCGTCATCCTGCCTCAGCCTCAATCTCAGAGTTGGGATTACAGGCATGTGCTCCAGACTGCTTATTGGCAAATTATTCTGTGGCCCACAGGTCTTCCTTGTCAGCTGTATGACACATCAGTGTCTGTGTTCCTATGGCCTTTCATCCTCTTAGTGACTTAAAGATTAGGTTGTGTACAGCATGGGTGAACCTTGAAAACATCATGCTAAAAGACCTTATATTATGTGAAAGGTTCAAAATAGACAAACCTAGAAAGGCAGGAAGTAAGTTGGTGGTTCCCTTGGTGTGGGGAGGGAAGGATGAGAGTGTACTGGGGAATATTGGGCATCTGGGTTTCTTTTTGAGGTGATGGAAATATTCCGAATTGGTTGTGGGTGTGGTTATACAACTCTGTGAAGCCACGGAATTGCTTCAAGTGGATGAATTATGTGGTATGTGAATTATCTCTCATTGCAGCTGTTTTTAAAAATTATGAGATTGCTAGTCCCCTCTACCCCATTCTTATTTAAGATCATTTTGGCTGTTATTCTTTTGCTTTCTATATACATTTTAATATCATCAGGTTAAGCTCCACACAAAACTATGTTGTTATTTTGTTTAGAATTTTGTTGAGGGCCAGGGATTTAGTTCAGTGGTGCTGCCGCCTGCCTTGCAAACACAAGTTTTTAATAAACTTCACCTCTTCTGCCTAAAGATTATACATGTCTTTGATAGACTTTCCTTGCCACTTTGTATTTTTTTCCCCCAGTACCAGGGATCGAACTCACGACCTTGTGCTTGCAAGGCAGGGGCGGCACCACTGAGCTAAATCCCTGGTCCCTAATGGATTTTTACTGCTACAGTAAATGAGATTTTTAATTACACCTTCTACTTGTTAGTTGCTATGGTGTAGACATGAAGTTTTAAAAAATATATTAATAGGGACAGGGATTTAGGTCAGTCATGCTGTGCCTGCCTTGCAAGCTCAAGGTCCTGTGTGTATATATATATATATATAGAGAGAGAGAGAGAGAGAGAGAGAGAGAGAGAGAGAGAGAGAGAGAGAAATAATATATAATGGTTTCAAAGCTACCACTTAGTTGAATTTTCTTATTTATTTATTTGGTACCGGGGATCAAATTCTGGATCAAACTCGGGACCTTGCGCTTGCAAGGCATGTGGCAAAACCACTGAGCTAAATACCTGGAATTTTATTTTATTTATTTATTTTTTTTGAGATAGGGTCTCACTGTGTAGTTGAGACTGACCTGGAACTCACTATGTAGCCCAGGCTGGTCTTGAACTCACAGATCCTTCTGCCTCAGCCTCCCAAGTGCTGGGATTACAGCGTGCGCCACCACACCTGGCTGGATTTTATTTTGATTTGCTTATAGATTCTTTAAAATCTATGGCAATAAACAGTCAGAACCACCAAGAGTGGTGGTGCAGGCCTGTAGTCCCAGCATTCAGGAGGCTGAGGCAGGGAGGATCACTGAGTTTGAGGCCAGTCAATTTCATTCGAGACCCTGTCTCAAAAAAAAAAAAAAATTACAACATCTATAACCCTTACATATTACAAATTGTTTAATTCTCTGGGTAGGATTGCTAATATAATGTTGAGCATAAGTGATAGCCGACCATGGGCGCACGCCTGTAATCTCAGCACTCTGGAGGCTCAGGCAGGAGAATTGCTGCAAGGTTGAAGCCAGCCTGGACTACAGAGACCCTGTACCAAAGAAAAGAGACAAAACAAAGAAGAAGTGATAGCTCGCATCTTGCTTCTGTTTTCAGAGAGAATGCTTTGAGTAGCTCTCCATTAGTTAGTAGGTATGATTATGGCTGTGCAGCAGGGGTGGGCCTCCAGCCCAGGCCTTGTAGATGCACTGTTTGTAGATGCATTGTTACTGAGACACAGCCAGACTCACCCACTCACAGATGGAGCATGGTTGTGTTCTTGCTGCATTAGCAGATGTCAGAAGTTTTGAGAAAACATGGCTCTCAAACCCTGAAACATTCATTGTCTTACCCTACCTTCAGGTTTTAATTTTGTAATAATAAATTTAAGGAAGTTTCCTTTTATTTCTAGGTGATTGCTAGTTTTCTTTTGTGGGGGGTTGGTTGAGACAGTTCTCACTAGCCCAGGCTGGTCTTGAACTTATGGCGATCCTCCTCCCTCAGCCTCCCTAGTACTGGGATTATAGGCGTACCCCGCACTTTAAAATAATACTGAATTTTACACATGCTTTTTATAATACAGTATGTTGAGGTGAGCATTAAAATTTTCTTCTTTAAACTGTGGTAAATTATACAGTATCATAAAATAAATTAGTAGTAAGCAGTCCTTGAATTCCCAAAATAAATATTGTTACACTATTTTAAAAATATTCAGGTAGACTAAATTTTCTAAGAAGTTAGGATGATTGCATTAATGTTTATAAATGACATTGGTCTGCTGGATAGATTTAGCCGTAGCCCGTGTTTGGTATATAATACTTTCTGACTTTTTTTTCAGTTCAGTGTATATTTCTGGCATCTACTTCATTTTTCCCCCCTCCCTTCGGTACCAGGAATCAAACTCAGGACCTTGCAGTTGCAAGGTAGGCACCATGCCTGAGCTAAATCCCCAGCCCCATCTACTTGATTTTTAAAACTCCCTAGTGTTCTTTGTGTTACTCTGTGACATTACTACAGTAATTAATTATTAATTATTTAGTTTTGAGACAGGATCTCCATAGTTCAGGCTGGCCTTGAACTCATGGCAATCCTCCTGCCACAGCCCCTCAAGAGCTGGGATCACAGGCGTGCACCACCATGGCCAGCAGTAATTATTGTTGATGTATATTTTCCCATACTTTTTTAAATTTCACATTTTCTATATATAACAACACTTTATATGATTTGTGTGACATCATGCAGGTAGCAGATTTTGGGCCAGGTTACAAATCAGTGATAGTCCAGATGATGATGACAGTGTTTAATTTGGGGAGGTTAAAAGCACTATGATAATAGAGTATATAAAATAAGAGAAATTGATCAGAATGAAATGTAACATGCTGTCAATTTTAAAATACATTACAGTTTAAGACATTAAAGTATGTCTGTTGAGCATAGTGACGTACACCTGTAATCCCAGCACTTGGGAGGCTGAGGTGGGAGGATCACCTCAGATTTGAGGCCAGCCTACATACCAAGACCATGTCTCAAAAAACCAAAACAACAACAACAAAATATGTGTCTTTTGATAGTCTGTGGCACATAGGAAGTGTTAACTACTTTATTAACCTTCCGGACAGGGCATTATGCCAGTGAGATTGCTAGCTAGGGAGTACTTGAAGTTATTCTTTACATGAGTTTTCCTTTTTTGGACCATGCTAGTAATGTGTAGTCACATCCTAAAATGGGCTTAATGGTTGGCAGTCTGTGGTTACACACTCTCAAGGGGAGTGTGCTCTCCTCTCTCAGTTGAAATCATAGTGGTCAGTTCTCAAGGGTGTGTTCTATTTGAAGGGCGAGTATGACACCCTGCTGGTCTCCTGTCCCTCGGAGGCTTGCTGCTAACTGAGGCAGATGGGCACTGGGCACCACTCTATGGCACTGCAGGCTTATTTCCCTGACATTTTTGCTAGCTGAACCAGACATTTATTTTTATTTTTATTTTTTTGTTAGTTTCTGTTTGTGATACCTTGTGATTATATTCAGTTTGGGTTATTGAAAAACATGTACATATTTCATCTTGATCATTTTTATTCCTTTTGTCTCTGAACTATGAATTTAAAGGAATGTTTTATATTTATGCTAACTTTTGTAAGAAGAACACTTTTCAAACCATTGTGTCTGTTTTAGTTTATATTCTTGGACGGTAAAGTTCTGGAAACATAAGTTTTTAGTAATATCATGGTCACTTCTGTATCTTTAGATTTTTATTTAGTGTTTTATTATGTTAATCACATTGTGATTTATGTTTTAAGTGCTATAGAACTTCATAAACTAAGTATAGCTGTAATCCTTAAATTCTAGTCCCTCAATTTAGGCAATAGTATTTTAGAAGCCTACCGATAAGTAATTTAAAGTCTCAGATTAATTAAAATCAGTACTTAAAATGTTGCAATTGTACAGTGTGACTTTTGAAATTAGACTTCTCTGTAGTTGTATTCCTAACTCCAGCATTGAAATCCATGTTGGAGTGTTTGGAGAAAACCAAATTGACTGAACTTAGTTGAAATGAAAAAAGAACTTCCTTGAAAATCACTTATTTCAGATTGCCTTTGTCAATTATAACTGCTATCAAATGTCCTCTCCCTTTTCTAAGTTTGCCGTCAGAATTTTTGCTTAGTAAAAACAGATTATAAATTAACAGGTTTTACTAATTGTGCTCTTATTTAATAGATCAGATGAAAAGAAAAATATGAACTGGAAGCAGCTTCCCAAAAAGCCATGCAAAAATCTCCTTAGCACCTTAAGGAAATTACATCCCCAGCTATCTTCAGGTAAATGTAAGAAAAAAGGAATTTGGGGGTGGGGTAGTGAAAAGGAATTTTTGGGATGGTGTCTCACCTTGTAGTTCAGGCTGGCTTTAAACTTAATATGTAGCTCACACTGGTCTTCAGTTTGCAACAATCTTCCTGCCTCAGCCTCCCAAGTGATGGGATTACAGTTGTGCATCACCATGCCTGGCTCAAGAAAAGGAATATTTTAAATGAAAGAATGTATATGAGAAAATTCTTCTTAAATTTAAACATAATTTTGCCCTACTTAATGTTTTTTGCTTGGTTTTACAGTGCTGGGGATTGAATGTAGGGCCTTGTGCATGGTAGGCAAATGCTGTTCCTGTAGCACTGCACCCCACCCCAGCCCAATTTTGCAAAACTTAAGAACCTGTGTGCAGCAAAGTTTCAAAAAGTAATGGACTTTATTGTAGTTTGACTCTTTCCTTAACCAGCCAGTCATTATATACATAGGATTTTATGCATTAATGCCATTGTTTTTTATTCTTACTTGGTCAGTTCACCGAAAAACTCAAGAAGGTTCTGCAGTAGAGATGACTCCAATCGAAGCAGATTTCTCCTGGCAAAAAAAAATGATGCAACTTGAGATGGAAATTCAAGAGGCATTTTTGCGATTTATGGCATCTATTTTAAAAGGATATAGAACATATCTCAGACCAATAACAGAGGCTCCTTCAAAGAAAGCCACAGCTGTAGATTCTTTGTTTGATCGACAAGGTGAGTAACACTGAAAATACAGTTGCTTTTAATTGAAGTAAAAAATGTTTTCTTTTTGGTATTGTTACCATGAAATGTTGATTAAAGTTTTTAAGAGATTGATATTAAAATACAGTACAGTTCCATGAATTTATAATGTATCTCTATGAATAATTTTTATTATTTATTTATTGTGGTACTGGGGATTGAACTTGGGACCTTGCGTTTGCGAAGCAGGCAGTGGAACTACTGAGCTAAATCCTGGCCCTTTAAGAAACTTTTTGAGATAAGATCTCACTATGGTTAACACTGGCCTTGAACTTGTTATATAGCTTGAACTTGAGGTTCATCTTGCCTCACCCTTCCAAGTGTTGGGATTTTGGACATATGTCACCAGTCCTGTCCTCTTTTAATTTTATAGCCTGTTATTTCCCTAAGAAACCTGAAATTGCAGTCTTTGTGAAAAGTCAAAGATGTTCATATTTAAAATACTATATAATCTGTTGTCTTAGTAAAAGCTGGTGATTTGCCTTTTTTGTTTCCTTAGTTTTACATAGTTCTTGGAATTATGCGCTCTTGCCTTGAAAGATTCCCTAACATTTTGTAGAATGAGGCCACCACCTTTTAAACATTCTGACAAATGTTTCAGGGGGAATATGTACTCATTCTTTTTACAGTGTATTGCTTTATAGAGTTATAAAAATTTTTTATGTTATTCAGTCACCTTTCATGTAGTAGCAATTTTACATCTACATCAATATTCATATAAAAATTCTTTTACTCTTTTACTCAGCAGTTACTTTTCCTTTTTTTTTTTTTCTTTTGGTACCAGGGATTGAACTCCAGACCTTGCGCTCGCAAGGCAGGAAGCCAAACCACTGAGCTAAATCTCCAGCTCAGCGGTTACTTTTTATAAAAAGTATTATTGCCAATAATCATTTTGTCCTTTATCTTTTCTGCTTCAGGATAATTTATTCACATATATTGTCACCATTTATTGAGTCTGACTAGTTGCTGTTTAGGGATATAAAGAAATTTTTAAAAATGTGTGGAATTCTAAATGGAAAATCTAAAATGTTTTAAAAATAGAACAAGTACTCAAGGAAGCAGATTTCACACATTAATTCAGAAAAAGAACACTCTGCGAAATGTATATTCTGGAAGACATCATTAAAGAAAAACATGAAGTTGAGGGATAGGTAGACTTTTAAGTAGAATGGAGCAGAGTGGAAAAGCTTTCTAAAAGTCCATAGCTACTAACCACTCAGATCTGAAGTAGAGTATATGTTTGGTCATTTGTAAACCCTTCTTAGGATTTTGGTTTCTCATTAATAAAATGGGAATAATATTTTATGGTTTTGACTTTTAAATAAAGTGTATCGGGAGCAACTAGTAAAAGTACTTTAAAATAGTAATAACATTTAGTTGTAATATTGGTGGTAATAAAAGGTGAAACAGTTACACACTCTGAAGAGAAACCAGAGTGTTATTGGTGGTAATAACAAAATGGAAATACACATCAGAAACAAAAGCAGAGGCACAGGGGTTAGTTTGCCAGGGTTGCCACGACAAAACACCAGTAGAGTTTATTTCCTCCCAGCTCTGGAGGCCAAACTAAGATGAAGGTGTTAGTAGGGTTGGTTTCTTCTGAAGGCTTATAGATAATGTTTTCTCCCTATGGTCTGCCTCTGTGTCCAGTTCCTCTTACAAGGATACTAGTCAGACTTCCTTTTGTCTTGTATTTTTCAAAACCCGACTTCCAAATGCACTCACATTCTGAGGTAACGGGTTAGGATTTTGACTTAGGATTTCTAGAATACAGTTCAGCCCATCATAACATCATGTTTCAGAAAAACATGATTTCACCAGAAGTGAGGAGCTGTAGATCTGTGTGGAAGCTAAGGCTGAAAGTAAGAAAGGTCTGAGGTTGTGGGTAGTCTGAAGGGCCAGTCTAAGGATCGTGACTTCCCCAATGGCGATAGAGGATTAACTAATATTTGCTCTCTGGGTACACGATATTACCACCTGGAAATACAGATAATTACTCAGTCCCTGAGTCCTAAGGTCTTTGTAGTAAAGAGTCCAGCCTTTGGTTCACGTCGTCATTTCATTCTAAAACATCGTGTGAAGTCTCACATAATCAGAAGTGGGGGTACATAGCTGAACGTGCTGCTAGAAGGCGGTGCCTGTCAGAAGATGCACTCTTTGGGGGTGACCTGGAAAGATGTGTTCTTTTCTCTGGCTGCTCCCTTCTCTCTGCTTCCTGGCTGCCACAGGTGGAACAGCTTAGTCTCCCCAGTTCCTTGCCCTATGCCATCTCTGCCTTGGAGCCAGTTGACCAAGGATGGAACCAGAGGAAGCCTGGGACCAAAATCCGCCTCTCCTTTAAATTGTGGGTTTTGAGCCCCACACAATACTGAGGATTGAGCCCAGGGCCTTCACAATGACCTGTATCCCTAATCCTTTTTAGTTTAGTTTTTTTTTTTTTTTTTTTTTTTTTTT